CAGCTCCCACTCCCTGTCCCATACTCCTGCAGCCCCTCTGCCCAGGACACTGTTCCGTCCAGACGTCCACCCAGCGGCGACCTCCCTGCCCCCTCCCGTGGGTCTTCACTTCCGTGTCCCCTTCTCGGTGGAGACTCACTGGCCGCCCTCTCCCAGTTGGAACCTGGCCTGCGTTGACCTGTGTCCTCCAGGGAGCAGACACAGAGATGGGACTCAGGGTCGTGAGATGAGTGGGGACACCCATGAAAGATGGGGAACGGGAGCAGGTGAGGGGCTCCCAGACTGCAGCGCGGGCCACAGGACAGGGTGCAGACCTGGCCACCCCAGCAGCCCAGCCGCCCACGGAGCCCAGCGCCAGGCTGTCCTAGAGTCCCCGCTGTTGCAGCAGCCGGGGCTGTGACACCGCCCTGCCCTCCTCGGTTCTCTGGGGCAGGGACAGCTGAGTGGCACCCCTCCGAGTGCTGCTGGTCGTCTCCCCTGCACCAGGGACCTCGTCTGGGGCTCCCCAGCTGCCCTTCCCAGGGGGAACCCCAAGGGGGGAGGCACACCAGCCCCAGCATCACAGCCACTGTCGGGGCTCAGCAGGGGCTCATCCCTCCCCTCCTCCCCTCTGCTCTTACCCTCTGCTGTCACCTCTGCAGGCCTGGGGGGGGGCCCTGGGGGTGTGAGCCGATCCTCATTCCGGAGGGGCTGAGCCCTGGTCACCGCGCCTTCTCAGGCCGGGTGGCAGCACCGTGCGGGCACATCGCAGGCCCGCGGGGGGCACCACAGCGCCAGAGGGCCCTGAGTTCCACACGTGTCCCCCAGCTGCTCGGAGTACCAGCAGCCCCAAGTCCTCCTGCCGACCGTCTGCTGCTCCCCGGGCAGTGGATGCTGAGTCCAGTGGGCTCTCCACGTGTCTGCCGCTGAGAGTGGGCCCTTGGGGGAGGGACCTGGAACCCCGCAGAGCCCGGGGGGCACGAATTCCTCAGGGGGCCCCTAGGTTCACGCGCTCATTCTTCTCCCGTTGGAAATGCAGCGCCGTGTAAAACCCTCCAATGCACTAGGCTGCGTCCTGGGGGCAGCGCCCATCCTCGCGGGCATTGCCCTGCTGTCCCCGTGCCCTGTGAAGCGATGGTGCAGCGCGCAATGCAGCCAGTGGGGCCCGGGCTGGGAGGAGGTCCCGGGCTGGGTGCCATGCTGGGCGGGCTTCCCTTGCCTGGACCGGGCTTGTGTGAGGCCCTGGGTCATGGGGACAAGCCTACACCTGGGCAGGTTTGTGAAGACCCTCCGGTGCAGAGGGGGCCCAACGTAGCCCGCCCACCGCCAGGTGCCAATTTGTAATCCACAAAGAACGTGCTATTTGGGGGCTCAGCCTCGGTCTCTGTTGCTGGCAGGTCACACACTGGGAGGTGGCAGGAGCCGGGGGGTCCTGGACTGGCGGGAATCCATGCTCCTGGCCCACACATGGCCTCTGATGTGACTTCTCGGTGCTGTCACGCCACTTCTGGGGATACAAGACCCTTCACATCGGGGCCCACAGTCACTCGACCATCCCCATGGCTGCAGCCCAGAGCCCTTGTCTCCACCTCTGACCCTGATGGGTCAGGTCCCGGCCAGCCTCCGATTTGGCCACCGAATCTAGATGTTCTCATCTGGGCCATGTTCTGGCTCACACAACATGTCCCACCCGCTGCCAGGAGCCCCACCCATCGGGAAGGCGTGGGACTCACCTCAGCTCCGAGTCAGCAGCGGATCCAAACAGTATTGCCCCTGCACCACACTCTCTCGAAAGGAGAGCTGGGTGGCACCCCCAGAGCTGGGGGTGCAACACTCTCCACCCCCGCCTTGCTTCATTTCTGACAACTGTCGGACGCACGCAGGAGCATCCTGTGTGGGGCCGGCCTCCCTCCATTAGGACAGCTTGGTATAGTGCCTGACATCTCCTAGGTGCTCAGCAAAACCTTGTCGAGTGGATGAATGAACAAGTCAGCCCATCAGTGGTGAACTACCTCCTATGTGAGGGGTTTGCAGGGGATCTGGTTTTGCTAATCTGCTTAGAGTTTGCGTGGATGTGGCGTTTGCTCAATGGTCTCTTCGTTGGAGTGGACATTGGGCACGTCAAATGCCAGCTGTTTCAACAAATATGGATACTGGGGCCCCGAGCCACTCTGCAAGGGCCATGGTGAGCCCGGAGTAGGGACACGCTTGTCCCCAGCCCTTGCCAGCCTTTCCCAGCGTCTTGGAAGTTCTCTGCCATCCAGGCACCTGGGTACTCACTTCTTGGGACAGAGCCCCCACGGCAAGATATCCTGTGAGAGCCATACGGTGACCTGCCTCATTCACCCCAAACTACCTTGGCCAAGTTGGGCCCAGCTCAGGGGACATCAGGCATGTGTCCAGCCAACGTCAAGGCTGGCCTCAGGGGCCTTGACCTTAGAGCTGGACCAAGAGTGTGGCCATTGAGTGAGGGGCCTGTGGCCTCATGTGACCTCGGGTAGGTGGCTTCTCTGCTCTACAAAGGGACCTCGGAGCCTACCCACCCACCTTTGAGGGCAGATGGGAGTTAATGAGGTCATGCATGTAAATGCCAGTAGGAGGCGCTCACCAGCCTTGGCCATGGTCACCCTCAAACTTGGTCCCCCTGGCCTTCCATCTCCTGATGGCCTCAACTTACCAAGGAAGATCTCCACACTCAAAAAACAGAACTCCTTTGGGTGATACAGCTGGCCCCCCCGTGCCAGGGTCTGAACTGAGTCCATGCACCCTCCAGCTGCTGTGGGGCCAAAGACCTCCAGGGAAGGCTCTAGAATACTCCCGGCCACAAGGACAACCGTGGCCAGGTTCACAGAGACTTCAGAGGGGCTGCCCTCTACGCACACTTGCCCTTGGCCTGGCCCTCCACCTTGTACGATAAGCAACACACAGTCCCCATTCCAAGATGGGGACACCGAGGCTGGAAAGGAGGTCCCAGCTAGTGAAAGAGGGCCAGAGCCCCCCGTCAGCACCCCCACCAAATGCCATCTCCCAAGGCCAGGGGTGAGGGCATCCACACAGCGCTGTTGGGCCAGAGCCTGCCTTGAGTGGTTGGGGAAGAACAGGGCTGGGGGGGGGGTCCACTCAGCAGGGAGCTGCCGGCTGAGCGAGGGGGACACTGAGTCCTGACCCAGGACCGAAGGTGCAGGAGAATCTGGCTGATGGGAGTCGTGGGGTCCAGCGGCGCCCGGCTGCTCCGGAAACTCTCCACACGGCTTGAGTCCCCACCAGCTAGCTGCCCGGTCCTGCACTGCGCTGCCCACCAGGCACACTGGGGTGTGGTCGGGGTCGGCTGGGAGCCTGTGAGGGGGAGCAGGCTCACTTCTGGAGGGGAGGGGTGCAGCCAGGTGCACGGAGAGGGTTTTGGGGAGAATGAGCTGCGAGAAGCCGTGAACAGCGGGTCCCGGGGGCCAAGGCCTGGGGTCTCCTGCAGCAACCAGCTCCGTGGCAGGGTTAGAGGGCGCCTGCCTCCCCCAGTTCTCAAAGTTTCCTAAGTACCTCCTGGGGCCCGGGAAAGGGCTGGGTCCTCGCACCATCAGGACGCCACGGGGGCGCCCGCCTGTGCCAGCGCCTGGCGTCTGGACGGCAGCCCCTTCCCCCGGCCTCGCTGCCCGACCCCCATGCACACTCGCCCATTGCCGTCCTCCTGGAGGCTTCCGCAGATGTGCGCCGCTGGAGACAGAGCAGAGTCGCTGCTTTCCTCTCCCCCGGGCGCTGTTCCCTGGCTGTCTGCTGTCTGCCTGTGTGTCTAACTGCCGGTGGGTCCCCAGCCTGACGCTGGGTGGCTGTTTCCCCGGGCTGTGGGTGTCTGTGTGTCTGAGTGTGGGCGCATCTGTCTCTCTCGCTGTGAATGTCTCCTGCCGAATCCGTCCTTGACCCTGTCTCTCTCCGCGCGTGTCTGGGGGGGAGGGGGTGCTCCCTCCCGCCGCCTCTCCTCCCCCACCCCCTCCTGCAGGCGCTAACGCAGCCGCGGCAGCTGCTGCCTTGGCTGCGCCCTCAGCGCAGTGACCTCGTCTGTCCCTGCAGCAGTGACCGCCCCGCTGCGCTGGCGGCCGGGGGGGAGGGGACCCGGGGCCCAGCTCTGGACCCCTGGCCTCTGGCCGCGGACCTGGGGCCGCGGGAGCCGGCGGTGGGCGCGCTCGCTTCCCCGCCGGGGCCACTGGCGCCCCATCTTCCCTTATGTAACTCCACGACTGTCTGCGCCTTGCAGGTCACCCGAGACCCCGCGCGGGCCCTGCCGGCGGGGAGGCTGACACCAGAGCCCGGGCACCTGGGGCCGCAGCGGGCCAGGGCTGCCCGGCTCGGAGACCCCTCCCATCCTTTCTCCTCGGGACGTTCCTTCCCCCAGAGCCGGAGCCGCGAGCCGCCGGGCTGAGCTCGACAGGAGGAGGGGGCTCCGGGGCGCGCTCCCCAGCGCGGTGCAGGCGCCCCCCCCCCCCCCCCCGCCGGGTCCCGCCGCCGCCCCGCGCCCCAGCCCGCCCGCAGGCGTCGCCGGGGCCGAGGCCGGGGCGGGCCGAGCGGCCCCGGGGCAGCAGGCGCGCCCCCCCCCCGCCCCGCGCCCCGCGCCCGCCCGGCCGGGCCCCCCCAGCCCCGTGCGCTCCCGGCCGGGCTCGGGCGGCCGGGCGGGCACGCGGCGCTGTCCGTGGTGCTGCCGGCGCCGGGCGGGGCGGGGGCGGGGGCGGGGCGGGGGCGGGGCGCGGGCGGGGCGCGGGCGGCAGCCAATGGCGGGGGCGCTGCGCGGGGCGGGGGGCGGCGGGCTGGGCGCGGGGCGCACTCGGCTGCGCGCGGCACTCGGGGCGCACCGGCGCTCCGGCGGCCGCTCGCGCTCCCGCCGCGCTCCAGGGCCGCCGGGCCGGCCGCGTCCGCGGACCATGCGCCGGGCACCCCCCGGGGCAGCCGGCCGGGCCGAGGGCCCGCGGACGCCAGGCTCCCGGGCCGGGGCCCCTCCCGGCCGCCCTGCCCCGCGCCCCGGCGCCGCCTGAGCCATGGAGCGCGCGCCGCCCGACGGGCCGCTGAACGCGTCGGGGGCGCTGGCGGGCGAGGCGGCGGCTGCGGGCGGGGCGCGCGGCTTCTCGGCCGCCTGGACCGCGGTGCTGGCCGCGCTCATGGCGCTGCTGATCGTGGCCACGGTGCTCGGCAACGCGCTGGTCATGCTCGCCTTCGTGGCCGACTCGAGCCTCCGCACCCAGAACAACTTCTTCCTGCTCAACCTCGCCATCTCCGACTTCCTCGTGGGTAAAGCCCCCCCGCGGCGCGGCCGGCAGGCACCGGGCGTGGACCGGGGCGCCCGTCCGCTGGGGCGCACGCCCGCCGGGGGCCGGCCGGGGAGGGGGCGCGGGGCGCGGGCCGAGTTCGCGGCCTCGCGGCGGGACGGCCCTCGGGAGGGGCGGGCGGGGGCGCGGGGGGCGCGGGGGGCGCGGGGCGCAGCGGCCCCGGTGCCGCCGGCTCCTGCGCCGGAGCCGAACAAAGGCTGCTGGCGGCGGACTCGGGACGTGCGGAGGGCGCCGGGAGAGGCGTGGGGGAGGGGACGGGGAAGGGAGTCCTCGGAGCTGGGGGGGGCGCGTGCGGGAGGCGCGGGGGGGGGGATGCTCCCAGGAGCGCGCTCTCACGTGTCCGCGCGCGGCTGCCGGCCTGGGGGCGGGGCGCGGAGGGGCCGAGCGCCAGACACCTGTTGGGGCTGCAAGGTGCGTCTGCCAGACACTGGGCGGTGGGAGCGGCTGGCGCGGCAGCCACGTGCCCCCTGAGCCGGGAGGAAGGCTCGTGCGGCTTCTGGTCTGACGGGGAAGGGCTGTCCAAAGGCGGGGATGGGGCTGGGGTCCCGCCGGCAGGAGAGCGAGGAAATCCTCCTTCCCCCCTTTGGGGCCTGGGAGGACCCGACGGAAGTCTGGAGGTCCGGTGCCCAGAGGTCCCCACCCCGGGATCTTCCCTCCTGCCCCCGAGTCCAAGGGATGCCAGTGGGACCCGAGGCTGGGCAGGGCTTGGGGGCCGGTATCAGGGCAGAGGCTGCGCCTAAGGCACAGGGCAGAGGGCAGGGCAAGGGAAGGGTCGCGAGTCCCAGGAACGCGGCCACTGTGCGACCCCCAGGTCCTGCCCGTCTCTCCGCCGCGGCGCGGCTCACCCCCGGCGCCCGTCCAGCCGAGGCTCACCCTGGCCCTCCTCTCCCGCAGGGGCCTTCTGCATCCCACTCTATGTGCCCTACGTGCTGACCGGCCGCTGGCCCTTTAGCCGGGGTCTCTGCAAGCTGTGGCTGGTGGTGGACTATCTGCTGTGCACCTCCTCTGTCTTCAACATTGTGCTCATCAGCTACGACCGCTTCCTGTCGGTCACCCGCGCTGTGAGTCTGGGATGCCGCTGCCCTTGCTCAGTCCTGGAGGGGACAAGGGGGGGGTCAGGGAGTGGCCACAACAGAGGATGGCCATATCCTAGCTGTGGGCGGTGCCAGGTGAGCTTGCTGCTGGCCTCACACCTGATGTACTGAGTCCTCTATGGCCAGCTGCCCACTCAGTAGCCGGGGACAGGCAGGAGGGCTGTCTGGACCTGGCATCGGCTGTTCCCAAAGGAAGGGGGACGATTCAGCCTCTACTCTGGAGCAGGTCCAAAGCTCTGAGAGCTGAGGGAGGATCTGGGCCAGAGCCCTTTGGTGGCACCCACACACACACACGTGTGCATGTGCGTGTGTGCACGAGGGTACACCAGGAAGTCAGGCATCAGCTTCTGGCCCCATAAGCCTCCCTTGGTGTGAGTGGTGACCCTGAGTTAGGGACGCTGGACTGCCCGGCCCTCCCACGTCAGAGCCATGGGGGCACGAGGGCAGCAGCCATGGGAGCACTGGTCTCCCCTTTGCCCTCTCATCTCCTCCCTGGCGGCTCTAACGGTCACTCTGAGCGCCCTCTGCTGGGGGCCACATGTGTCCTAGTCTAGAGAGGCCATGGGACAGAGGGCAGAGCGTGCGGTGGGGGTCACGTCCCAGCTCTGTCCCCTTGAGCCAATCCACCTGCAGTCTCCGCCTCCCTCCCTGAGCCACCAGGAAAGTGAGGACAGTAACGGAGCTGCTGAGACATCCGAAAGGGGGTCAGCACAGAGCCTGGCCCCCGGTGGGCACTCAGGGCACAAGGGACAATGGCAAGACACTCTCGGGAGCTCACAGCTGCTGTTTGGGGGTGATCTGAGGGAGGCTCTCCGGCTGCAGGAGAGCGTGCTGGGCATCGGCCAGCCCAGGATCCGTGTGGGCAGGGGAGGCAGGCCCAGCACAGAGGCCCAGAGGCTGCTGGGGGAGGGGGGGCGCTCCCAGCCCCCGTGGCTGCGGCAGGGCCTGGTGCCCTTCCCTCCTGACCCAGCCTGTCCCACGGCAGGTGTCCTACCGGGCCCAGCAGGGCGACACCCGGCGGGCGGTGCAGAAGATGGTGCTGGTGTGGGTGCTGGCCTTCCTGCTGTACGGGCCGGCCATCCTGAGCTGGGAGCACCTGTCCGGCGGCAGCTCCATCCCCGAGGGCCACTGCTACGCCGAGTTCTTCTACAACTGGTACTTCCTCATCACGGCCTCCACGCTGGAGTTCTTCACGCCCTTCCTCAGCGTCACGTTCTTCAACCTGAGCATCTACCTGAACATCCAGAGGCGCACCCGCGTCCGGCTGGACGGGGCACGTGACCCCGAGCCCGCGCCCGAGGCCCAGCCCTCCCCGCCGCCGGCCGCGCCCGGCTGCTGGGGCTGTTGGCACAAGGGGCGAGGGGAGGCCGTGCCGCTGCACAGGTACGGGGTCGGGGTGGGCGAGGCAGCCCCCGGCGCCGAGGCCGGGGAGGCGGCCCTGGGGGGCGGCAGCGGCGGGGGCGCCGCGGCCTCGCCCACCTCCAGCTCTGGCAGCTCCTCCCGGGGCGCAGAGCGGCCGCGCTCGCTCAAGCGGGGCTCCAAGCCGTCGGCGTCCTCCGCGTCGCTGGAGAAGCGCATGAAGATGGTGTCCCAGAGCATCACCCAGCGCTTCCGGCTGTCGCGGGACAAGAAGGTGGCCAAGTCGCTGGCCGTCATCGTGAGCATCTTCGGGCTCTGCTGGGCCCCGTACACGCTCCTGATGATCATTCGGGCCGCCTGCCACGGCCACTGCGTCCCTGACTACTGGTACGAGACGTCCTTCTGGCTGCTGTGGGCCAACTCGGCCGTCAACCCGGTCCTCTACCCCCTCTGCCACTATAGTTTCCGACGAGCCTTCACCAAGCTGCTCTGCCCCCAGAAGCTCAAGATCCAGCCCCACGGCTCCCTGGAGCGCTGCTGGAAGTGAGCGGCCCTTCACGGCCAGGGGGGCCGCCGGGGGGGCCCTCCCACTGCCACGCCCCCAGCTCTGGTCTCCTGGTCGGGCCCCTGGCCACCGGCCGCCCCAGGGGGCCACGCCTTGTCTCCAGCGCACCCTAAATGCCGCGCAGCACCTCTTAGACCATCCGCCTGCGGTGGAGGCAGCTTGGCGGGCTGGCCAGGGTGGCCCTTGTGCCTGAATGGGAATGTGGACGCCCCCCCGCCCCCAGACGCTAGCTGCCCCCCAGGGGGAGCAATCCCCGCCCTGCTGCCCACCCTCCACAGACGGTCTGACGGCCAGTGTCCACCGTTTGCACAGTTACTGCTTGGTGTCCTTCCCGAAGCAAGTGACGCAGCAGTCTGCCCCCGCACGTGCGCACACCTGCACACTGTCCCCCCGCAAACGAGCCTGGGCCGTTGGCTCCGCTGCTGTGTGTCCCCTGCTCAAGCCCAGGCACCAGCAACTTCATCCCTCCGCCTCCAACCCCCTCTGCCCCCAAAGTGTCGAGTGCCCCCCGGGAACCTCGCGGCCGTTCTCTGCTCTTCCATTCCGGGTGTTTCAGGAAGATGAAGAAGAAAACACGTCCGTGAACTCCATGTTCCTTGGCTGTTTAATCAAGAGAGACAAAATTGCTGAGGAGCTCAGGGCTGGATTGGCAGGTGTGGGCTCCCACGCCCTCCTTCCTCGCGCTGCTGCTTCCGGCTGAGCTGCGCCAGCTGCTTCTGCCCACCCCGCCCCCGGGCTCGGGGTGCTGAGCCCTGACTGGCGGCTCCGAGAGCGGCCGGAGTCCCGGACGCCTGCTTGTCCAGAGGCTGCCCCTCCCGCCCCACCTGCTCGACCAGCTTCCTTGGGCTGAGGGGTGGGAGGGGGACTGGCCATGTCCCGAGGGTCCCGAGGCTTCTGCAGGGCAGCCTGAGGAGACCGGGGTCCCCGGGGCGTGCCCAGTGGAGGGGCCGTTAGTTCGCCACGTCCTGTGCACCCCGTCGGCGCTCTGCATGCTCCGCTCCCCGCGTGCCCGCTGCCTGCCCTGCAGACTTCGAGGTCACAGTAAAGTGTATTTTTTTATTGGTGCTGATTCCTGAGGATTCCTTGGGGGCGGGCTGCGCTCCTGTACTTCAGGGAGACACGGGACCACCCAGCAGGGCATGAGGAGCGGGTGGGGAGGAAGGACCGGCCTGGCCTGTCATACAAGGTTTGATTCGGATCCGGGGCCGGCGCCCCTCCCAGCAGTGCCCCCCCCCACGCACACCTGTTCAGGCGGGTGACCTGGTGCTAGGAGGGCCCCCCCCCCACCCCGTGCAGCCTGCCCAACCCCCAGGACCCGGGTTCTCATCTGTCTTGGCCGTGATCTTCCACCTGGGGAGCCGTCAGGAGGCGTGGGGACTGGAGCTGAGTTCAATGGGTGGAGAGGAAGGGATGGGCCCAAGGAGGGGAGGCCCCTTGGGTGGGAGGGCATGAGCACGGTCCAACGGTCAGTCCCTGCAGGCTCCACGGAGGGGGCAGACGCTGCTCCCAGCACAGGTGCTCAGAGTCCGCGCAGAAAGGGGACAAGAGCAGCACAGCTTAGGGGAGACACTAACTTGGGTGGGCCAGAAGCCACCTCCTCCGGGAAGCCTTCCTTCCTTTCCGGCACTAGAGCCCTCCCTCCCCTGGCGGCAGGTTCTCTCCCCCCACGTTGGCCCTGCTTCCGCAGGATTCTGACCACAGCCTCGGGTCCCACGGCAGACAGAGCCTGTCTCGTGACGCTCTGACAGCAGATGCCGCGGGGCCCTCTCCAGCCCCCAGATGCAGGTCAGCAAACTCTCGTCTCGCCGCTGCAGAGCGAAGCTGTTCGCAGCAACATTTGAAAGCCTTCCTCCTCCCGACACCTCTCACCCCACAGCTGTGTCTGCACCTTCATTTTCCAAACGCCCCAGAAAACTCCCTCGGATCCTCGTCGGGCCCCCTTCCCTGCACTATCTCCCTCCGCCGCCAGGGGCCCCCGTGGCCGAGGCAGGGTGCCCGCTGGTCCCCCTCAGTGGCCAGCGGGATGGCCGAGCCCTGGGGCCACCCTCGGGGGCACAGGTTGGGGCGGGCGCAGCAGGGGACAGGGTGGCAGGGACCGTGGGTGCCGTCGTCTGCGGGGCCCAGACCGCCCCCACCCCGCGGGTGACCGTCGCCACTGCTCAGAGCCCCCTGGGGAAGGCCGAGGACCCCGTCCTCCGTGCCAGCAGCACAGCCGGAGCCCTGGCCGCCCCTCCGCCCGGCCGTGCTAAATGGCTACAAATTGGAGATAAAAGCGCAGGCTTTCAAGCAATTTTGTCTTCAATCTCTGGAAACCGCTGCTCCCGAGCTCCTGCGTGAGGACGGAGGAGGAGAGAAGAAAGCCACCGAGTCTATTGGGCCCGAGTCCTGCAGCAAACAAACACGCCAAGGGGCCTTTCTCCTCCGAGGGCCGCGCGGGTGGAGGGGGGCGGGGAGCCGGCGCCGGCGGGGGGTGGGGGTGCTCCGCAGGGTCCGCCCACGCCAGCCGCTGCTGTTTGTTGAGCACCTACTGTGTGCGGGCCCCGAGGGGGTGCTGGGCCACTGGGCCGCCCGTCAACAGCCTGCGGACAAGCGGGGCCACTCCTGCTGAACGAGGCCTGCAGGACACCGATGGGCGTGGTGGTGGGGGGAGGCCCAGTGGGCGGTGGGCGGGGAGCCTGTGTCACTCATTGGTCTCTGACCCCAAGGGGCGCTCCCCAAGAGGCCGCGGGGCAAAGGCAGAGCGTGCAGGATAAGGGGTGCCCCGGGAACCGGTTCTGGGCATGTGCTGGGTGGGGGTCCCTCCCAGGCTGCGGTGAAGACCCTGCGTTTTTAGGGTGCTGTGCCGGCAACCCCCACCTTTCTACAGAAGGCAGGTCGCCCCATGTTTCCCTGGGGCAGCCAGGGCCACGACGACTGGGGCACTGAGGCCGGGCTCTGGAGCCCTGACATGTGGGGGAGCCCCGTGGCCTTCTGTCCTCTGCCGCCCCCACCCCGTGCTTACGCCCGTGGCTGCCAAGAGCTTTTCCACCGTGTGCTGGAGCACGCTCAGTCCTCGCAGCTGGCCCACGGGGGGGGGGGGGCGCATCCAGCTCTGCAGGTGCAGGGGCCAGGGCTCCAGGGGCCGGGCGACACCCCAGGCCCCGAACCCAGTGGGCAGGGGGGCCAGGACTCCATCTCCCCCTTCCTCTGGGATCCCCCCGGGGCACCACGGGGACCGTGCTGTCGGGAAGGGGTTCCGGGAGCCTGGGGCTCGGGCCTCAGTCGGTGGCTCTCTGCTGTGCGGTGTGCAAGCAGCCGGGAGAAGTCACCCCTGCAGAGCCAGCAAGCAGAGGAGAGAAGGGGGGGGAGACGAGCTGGGCTGTGGAGGTGGGGGGCCCCATGCCCAATTGCCCGGGGCAGGCAGGAAGGCAGGAAGTGGGTTTGGAGGAGAAACAGGCCGGGGGCAGGGACCGCCATGGCCCACCTAGCAGGTCTGTGTGGAGGCTGGGACCGAAGCCAGGGACCCGTTGGGGCACCTCGCCCACCCTCCTTCCTGTCCAGTTGGTTTGAGGGGCCAGGCAGCGGCTCCTGGGCCTCAGTTTCTTCCTCTGCAGAATGGGGTCAGTCCTGGCGAGGGGGGCAGGGGGTGATGTGGAAGCAGACATCGCTGAGGCCCTGCCAGGGCACTGGCTCTGCCCGCCCGTCGTTACAGGAACGCCCGGTGCCCCCGGTGGGCAGCTCTGTGCTGGCCTGGGCCTCCCGCCCCCCACAGCAAGGTGCTGGCTGCAGGCGCCGCCACCCTGGGACCTGGAGGGCTCACCCTGTCCCCTGCCCTCCCTCCCTCCCTCCCTCCTTCCCTCCCTTCCTCAGAGGGGAAAGGAGCCCAGGATCCGAGGCTGGCTAGGACCGGCCCCCCGCCCCTGCCCAGGGCTGCAGAGGATGGAGGACACTTGGCGCCTGACACCCGGGGGACTGGCCCTCCAGGCCTCTGGCCTGTCTGGTGACCAGAGCTGCATGGGACCATCCCAGAGCAGGTCTTGGGGTGGAGGGTCAGGCAAGCCCCAGAGGGGCTGGAGTTTCGTCTGGAGGACACGTGAGGGCGAGTCGCGGGGTGGACGGAGGCAGGAACTCTGACTCCAGCCCGGCAGGACCAGGGAAGGGGCAGGCCGGAGGCTGGAGAGGCCACGAAGGAGGGTGGCCACGGTGCCCGGCCCAGGGGTGTGCTCAGGCTGAACCGGACCCGCTCCCTGCGTTTCGCACTCGCTGTGCTCCAGGCGCCTGTGAATCTGCTTCTCATCTGCGCTCACGGGGCCTCACGCGCGTGCGGCACTCCTGCCCTTTTACAGGTGAGGACACTGGGACACAGAGAAGCTGAATGAGCGGCCCGAGGTCACACAGCTGTGAGCGGCTGAGTGGGTGCTGGTTTCCTCCCGTGACCACCTTCCCAAGCCTCAGCCCGCGGGGCCACCTTCCCGGTGCGGCCCCAGCCCACCGCCCGGGCTCCTGCCCCCTCGGAAGGCGCACGCACGCTCCTGATGATGTCCGGGGAGTATGACCGCGCTGCGCCTTCTTCTTTGGGGAACCACTACCCCTCAGTCCAGCGGGTTCGGGGGCCGCCCCCACCTCCGGGCTGCTCAGAACCGCCGCGGTAGGTGGGGGCGGTGTGCGTGCCCAGCCCAGCTGGAGAGCCGCGCCAGCCTGGGGCTCGGGCTGGGATCTGGGAAGCAGGTGTCCCCTGCAGCTGGGGTGCTGGCTGGTGGCCTCCGAGGCTGTCCTCGCTGAGCCCCCCTCAGGAGGGAGCACGGCTGGCGCGGCCAAGGCGGAGGAAGGGCTAATCCAAGGCTGAGAGGAGGCAGCTTCCTGGTGCCGTTCTCTGAGCGCCTGGATCCAGCCCTGCCTAAAGCTAGCGCCTGGACCTTTCTGTTCATGAGTCACCAAACGCCCTTTCCTTCCTACAGCTGGCACAAGAAGAGGTTGTGCAGCGCATGGACGAGGTCTTGTCCAGCAATACCCAGCCCAGGCCGGCATCCCCCCGTCTCGGGGGCAACCGGTCGTTCCTGCCCGTGGGAGGCCTGAGTCTCCGACTAATAAAAAATGGGGGAAGTGAATTAATTACTTAGTAAAATAATAACTAGTTGTTTGCAATGGTTATGGGTAGGAAAGCAGTCTTTTAACACATGGGTAGGAAAGTCAGAAGCCTCGGCCACGTGCCTGTGACGCCCTTCGTGTCCACAGGTGCCACACGGGGACCGAACCGGCACCCGGCCTTGGGCCTATTGCCCAGGGCCTCCTGGACGGCTCTCAGCCCCAGGGAGGCAGGCAGCTCCCTGTAAGATCTGATGGGAGTTTCTCGGAGGGGCACAAAAATACAGGAGCGTCCCCTTCTCTGGGGGCATCATCCCAGGCCCCGTGGACGCCCGAAGTCGGGGGCAGTGCCACACCCTGCACGCCCCGGGTGTTCTCCCCCCCACACACACACACACGTGCAGACACGTGCGTGTACGCACGAGGTCAAGTGTAACCAATGGACCGGGCACAGCCAGGGAGCGTCAGGAACTCCCGATGACCCAGGACAGCTGTCACAACGCGCAGCCATACAAGTTGTGTGAACGTGGCCTCTCCCTCTGAGAACACCCTCCTGTCCTGTGCTCACCCTCCTGTGATGAGGGGACAATGGGATGAAGTGACATGAGGACGCGGGCGGGTGACGCAGCGTGAGGGTGACCTGACCTTCTGACTGTGCGCCGGGGGAGGCTCCTCGGCTTCCCGTGTGGGGGACCCTGTCCCCGGGACCTCGGGGGAGGGGGCACGGCTCTACCCTTCAAAAGAAAAAGAGAAAGGAGAAAGGAGAAGACGCTTTTGGGCGTGAGGAGAGGAGGTGGCGAACGGCACTGGGCTGAACACGCATCCGTGACACTCCAAAGTCACACCAGGTTCCAAATTCAAACATGACAAATTTCGTGATCTTTAAATGCTTCTACTTTAAATGCTGATGATCTTTGAAGAGTTCAGCAAACACGCTCCTCGCTGCAGTGTAGGAGCTGGACCCGCTCGGTGGACGGTGGGCACCTGTCTCCTGCTGGCTCCCGGCTTGGCGCCAGCACGTGCTCCTGGGAAGCCAGAGGGTGGGCAGGTGGGCCAGCCGCCTCCTCCCGGGCCCTTCCCGGTGCCCCCAGGGCCCATAAGCTTCCTCATCAGCTGAGGCTCCGCTCAGTCCCGCTCCGTCCACTCCGTCCCGCCCACATGAAGTCATACTGAAGGATGGACTTGGTTTCCGGGGGCATTTCAGCAGAGGGCAACCTCTAAAGCCAGGGGAGTCGATCCTGACGCACGCATCGCAGACAGAACAGACAATGACTGGCTGACGGGATAGAGTCGGCGAACTTTCTTGAGCGCCTGCTGGGCCTTGAACCCGACACTGACTTCACCGAGGGCTCCAGATCTATGCACTGGGAGGTCAGAGCCCTCGGACAAAGCCCCCCTGGGCAGGGTAGTGGTTCTGCAGGGGCCACCAGGCTACGGGGGACATATAGGGGTCACAGGCATGTTTCCTGGGATCAGACCTGGGCCCCCGGGTCAGCGGGCACTGGGCAGGCCCAGGTGGCTCCCCCGTCAGCTGGGAAGGCGTCCACTCTCTCTGGGAGGGGTCGCTGCTGCTGAGGCCACCCCAAGGACACTGGGTTGGAAGTGGCCAGCTGGGGTTGTCCTGACATGGGTGTGGTGGGGAAGTAAGAACATGTGCTTCTGGGAGGGGCTCTTGGCCACCCTCCCTGGGGGGCTGCCCTGGCCTCTGACAGCGGAGGGCCTGTCCCCAGGGCTGCAAGGGGACTCCCCGATGGACGTGCCAGGCAGCTGGTGCAGGAGGGAACCTTCCTGACCCCACGGTGGGACAGCAGAGCGTGAGCTTGGTGGGTCTCGGCCAGGGTGGGCAGTGTGGGGTAGGGGGCACGGCGTGGGGGGCCGGGAGGGTCTGCACCTTCCTCTGGCCCCGTCCGCAGGCCTGCTGTCACCTCCGCCTGCCAGGGACGTCCCCCTAGGTGCTGGAAGAAGGCAGCATCCTTGGCCAGGGGGTTGGGGAGGCTGCAGGGCCCCCCCCCCAGCCCGGCCCACCCTCCTGCCCTTCCCCCAGGCCTCCCCAGCCCCCTCGCCACACCCCTTCTCTTGGGGTATAAAAGGCAGGAGTCCTGTTATCTGATTCCCAACAAACAATGCTCTCACGGAAGCCCACAGAGTTCTTTGCTGCGGATCTGAAATTCAAATCACATCTGGCAACCCTCCCTGCCCTTCTCCCCGCACGGTGGGTGGGACGTGGGTGGGCACGGAGGGAGGCCTCGGCTCTAAGGAGCCCCCCAGCTCTGGAAAGCGCTGCGCGGCTGGGTGCGGGGCTGGAGGGGTGAGCCCTGGGTCCCCCGGCTGGGGCTGAAGTGGACCAGCTTCAGAGCCCAGGCCGGGCCAGCGGCGATCCTGCTCCCCGGGGCGTTCTGTACCCCCCTGCCCCCCCCCGGCACAGATGAGGGAACCTGGGCTGGGGTAACCCCCCCCACGGGGCGTCACCCCCCAGGGCTGAGTGTCGGGTACAGTAACAGTCCTGGCCGTGGGAACTGTCGGTACCTGTCGATTTTTTTTTTTAAGATTTTATTTATTTATTCATGAGACACACACAGAGAGGGGCAGAGTCACGGGCAGAGGGAGAAGCGGGCTCCATGCAAGGAGCCCGACGTGGGACTCGATCCCGGGACCCCAGGATCATGCCCTGGGCTGAAGGCAGGCACCAAACCGCTGAGCCACCCAGGGATCCCTTCTCCAGTGCCTTCTCTGCTTTCATCCCCCTTTGGGGTTGCCGCGGGTTCGCACGTGCAGTTGTGTTAACAACGCGGAGGGATGGCGGGACCATGCAGGGCTGCCGGGGGGGGGGGGGGGACACCACACGGTGGCTGCAGCCCGGCTCGCCGATCCTGCATGTGCGCTGGCGTGCAACTGCACGTGTGTGCGCAGGTGTGGTTGGGCCTAGTTAATTCTGTGGTCAAATACACATAAAATTTACCCTTTTACCCATTTTTCAGTGGGTGGCTTGGCGGCACTACGCACACTCAGTGGCACACCCGCCACCACCATCCAGCTCCACAACTCTCTTATTTTCCCAAACTGAAGGTTGTCGCCCATCAAGCATTCGGGTCTTGGAGATTTTACGGCCTGTGTAGATTTGTGGGGTCACGGCTGAGATGCAGGACAGCTGCCACAGGAGCCCCCGTGCTGGCCTCGGAGCCCTGAGCCCACCTGACTCCAGGGGTCTGCACGGGCGCGTGGAAGTGCAAGCCGCCCGCGGCCCCGAGGAGGGGGCAGCCCATGTCGCTGAGCGGGGCTGTCCGCGGCAGGCTTCCACGCGGGCCCCAACGCGCGCACTGGTGTTTGCCTGGGCCAGCCCCCCCCCCAGCGTGTGTGCCCTCAGGCCTCGGGGTGCTGGTCCCACCTGGCCGCGACCTGGCCCAGACCAACGAGGCGTCTGTTGTCAAGAAAGTAACGTGAGGCAGGGTGGCTGCACAACGCCAGTGGCCACACGACCCGAGACCGGCTGGCAAGGCCCACAGTGGGCCCCGCGTGGGGTGCTGGCTTTGATCAGGGGGGCGGGACGGCCTCCCCAGTTTCGTGATGGGGACGCACGTTAATGGGTATCTGGGGAAGGGCACTTGGATCAGAGAGAGCCGCACCACAAAAGCCCGGCATCTGGAGTGTCCCTGAGTGTGGCGGACACCCAGCTGGAGCAGAGGGACGGGCGGTGCGAGTGGCCAGGCCAGGTGAGGACGGGGGCTTTGCTCGAGGGAGAGGGTGGCTGAGGGGGGCAGAGGGGGATCCCTGATGGACAAGGAAGATGTGGGAAACGGGGCACATTAAATGAGGTCACCTGGCTTAGTGTGGGTCCTAAGTCCATGACTGGAGTCCTTGTAAGAGGGGACAGAGAGACAGAGCAGGAGCTGTGACCACGGAGGCCGACCGGAGAGATGTGCTGCAAGCCCAGGGTGCCTGGGGCCATCGGGAGGGGCAGACGGGATGTGACCCTAGGCCTCCAGAGGGGGCAGGACCCAGCCCACACGGCGACGTCGGGTCCGACTTCCGGCCTCCAGAGCTGGGATAGAATCACGTCCTTTGTTTTCAGCTCCCAGCGTGTGGACTCGGTCACGGCAACCTGAGTTGACTAACACACATGTGATAAAACTATCTTCAAAGCAGACACACTAACCCTTCCCCCGGTGCCCCAGCCGGGTCCCGAGGTGGCGCTGCGTGGCCCAGTGGAGCCCCCCGTGTCTGGGCTGCTTGTCACGGAGCCCAAGGCTGTTGTCCCACGGTGGTGGGGCCAAGCACACGGCGGGGGGGAGGGCTGACTCGAGCAGACCCCCGAGATCAGTGTCTCAAGCCCCACGGAGGGCTCGCTCCGCACCTCAACTACACACCAGGGCGGACTCGTCCCACCTGAGGTGAAGCAACCAGCGTGCGGCTCGGACCCTGGGGTGGGTGGTGTGGGTGGTTGGTTTCCGCCTCGGCAGGACCTGTTGCCCGCCAGTGTGCAGCTGGGGCTTGGTCCCATGCCGGGCGCTGGCGGGGTCGAGGGGGCCGGGGGAAAGCACCCGGCGGGCCAGGCTGCAGGCAGGGATGGACTCGACCTCTAACGGGACACGGCAGGCCGGCAGCACAGAGCTGGGGTCGTCTGCGGTCACACAACCAGCCGTCCCAGCTTCTGCTTGTTGCAGGATCTACACCTGCTGTTTGCATTCGGTTTCTGGCTCAGGGTGGGCAGTGCGCCCGTTTTCCCAGGCCTCGACTGCACCTGCACAGAGGGGTGCCCACGTGCTCCTGCCAGGAGCCCCACTGCCATGCTAGGCAAGGCACGAGGGGATGAGCCCCTGAAAAGATCAAGGGAGGCCGGCACGGCGGGGCCAAGGATAGGGCTGGTGAATGCACCCCAGGGTCCCCCTCTCCTCGGGAGCAACCCTGGAGTGTTGTTCTCTGGAGCAAGCAGATGCAGTTCTGGAAATGGGGGTGCCAGGCTTTAGGACTAAAAATGAGGGAACGTGGGACATCTGCATCCTGAAGCTCAGGTCCCCATCTTCAGATCCACTCCCAGAAAGGCCCCGAGGAAGCAGGTGACAGCCACCTCGGAGAGAGGGAGTCAAGCAAAGGGAGACATGGCAGGGGTGGGGTGGGGGGTGGGGAGCCTGCATGGGCCACGTGAGAACAGGACGCCAGAGGGCACGGGGGAGGAAATCCTCAGGGCAGAGGGAAGCTGGCCACTGGAGCAGCTGCGAACTGGAACCGACAGGGAGGGACAGACACGTTGGGACAGACACAAACATCCAGGGGCGGAGAGAATGAGGCAGGGAGATCCAGGAGGGACGTCAGCTGCAAGAAGGTGAGGGGCTGGACAGAGGGTCATGCGCCACGCGCTACAGCGCCTGCTGTCAGCCCGACACGCGGGTCCCAGATGGCCGGCGTGGCGGCGTGAGCGAGTCGAGTCCCCGTCCGCGGGGCGGTGTCAACAGGTGGGGGCCAAGCCAGTAGGTGAAGTCACGGCTGAACAGCCTGGTGGTCAGGGCAGTGCCTGGGGACACGTCTGCGGCCCGGCGGGGCGGGGCGGGGAGGGCAGGTGGCACGGGGGCTCAGCCGCTCACTGACTTTCTGCCAACCTCGTGCCTTTTAAAGGTATTTTCAAACTAAAAGAAACAACACGTACACAGCCTCGGACACCATTCCTTTCTTCATTCCAGCAATATTTCCCAGAACCTCTTCTGGGTCAGGTCCTGAGGCCGCCGGGGCACAGCCGAGCACAGGGCAGACGCAGGGAGACACCCAGTGTCGTCCCTGCGCGCAGCGGTGCGGGGCGGCGGGAGATGAAAGGCCAGGATAATTAACCGGCTCTCCGAAATCCTTTGTGGCGGCCCCGGAGAGAGCAAAGAGATTGCAAAACCCATCTCTGGTTTCCAGAACACAAGGACCTCGGAAATTATAAGGCATTAAAATAAAGCTTCAGGCAAAGGACTCTTGTTGTAGTTGCAGATTTGACGCTAGATCAAAACAGAATTGCTCCCCAAAGCTCAGGCGCAAGCTCCTCCTCGGAGGCAGGCCCGGCCCCCCAGCGCCCCCCGCGGCCAGGCCCCCGGGACTAAGCACCAAGGGGCCCAGAATCCCTTCCCCGGCTTGCCCCAGGTCCCCAGCCACCTCGTCCCTTAAGGGCCCCCAGGGATGAGCCCGAAGCCTCAGACTTCATGTGGGGGAAACACAAGTCTGCGCCCTCAGTTAATAACCGCACGCGGCCCGGGTCGGATATTGGGTGCATTCAGTCGTGAAGCCAGCGGCTCCCGAGGACAGCAGAGTCTGGCAACAGGAGGGGGCGTCGCCCCTGCTTTTCTCGCTCCCTGTCCCCGCGCACTCACGACCCTCTGGAGGACGGGCCGACCTCCAGGTGTCAGGGAGCCTGCGCCTCCCCTCGGGGTCCCAGGTGCGGACTCCTATTCAGCTCACCCAGGTCGGGCCCGCTCAGCCGCAACGTGGTGGCTGCGGGGCCCTCGCCCATCGGGGGACTGAGGGTGGGAGGCACCAGGGAGCAGGCTGTCGGGGGTGCGTCGTCCGAGGTCCTGGGACGTTTGCTGGCGGGTGAGCCCCAGGGACGGTGGGAGGCAAAGCAGTGACACTGTCGATCCTTTAAGGCTACTTTCTGCTCAGAGCCCGTGACACTGGGTCGGTCGCCGGCGGTGGCAGTCTGGCTGCTACCACCTGAACTCGGCGGCCACGTGCCGGCTGTGGAGCTCCTGCAGGCGCAGCAGCAGCTCCTCCAGGTTCTCCCCGGTGGCCGCCGACAGGGCGATGACGGTGCTTGGTCCCAGGCGGGCCCGCAGCTGGGGCAGAGCAGCTCTGGCCTGAGGGAGGTCGATCTTATTCGCCACGACCACATGGGGTCGCTCGGACAGGCCCGCTTCATACTTCTCCAGCTCGAACTTCAGGTCCTCCACCTGGGTCCACGGCTCTGGCTCCGAAAGATCCACGATGAACAAGAGGAAGCGGCAGCGCTCGATGTGCCTGAGGAAGGTGCTTCCCAGGCCCCTGTTCTGGTGCGCGCCCCGGATGATGCCCGGGATGTCGGCCACTGCAGGGGAGACAGGACGCCGGGGCTGGGAGGGCAGGCCGGCTCCTTCCGGGGGCCCCGGGCGCCGAGCGGCAGGACTTGCAGGGAGCGCCTGGACGGGGACTCGTTCCGCGCCGCGCCTCAGTGACGCCCGGGCACCTCCGCAGAGACTCTGAAGGATATGGGGACAGGCTTGCTGGTGGGCCGGCCTGATAAGAACATTTAACACAGGCTGGCCTCTGGCTTTTAAAAATGATTCAGAAACGGGGAACATGGCTTCCTGTAAACTTAAGAATTGGATTACTGATGGAAATTATTACAGAGTACTCTGCAAACATAAAGTGCTATACGAATAACATCAGCAGCAGGCTTACTATTTTTAATGGGTACATTATCTTCTGGGAAAAAGTTTTCTTCTCTCAAAATGGTACAGGGAAGCTTTTCAAGTCACATGTCGTCTCCACGACTGATGCTGGGAGAGGGAGAAAACCAGAGGAGGCAGGACTTCCTCAGGTTTGAAGCCGGCACATCGGTTCCTGAACCCAGCCAACAGAGGCCTGGGGACGGGGTGGGAAGCAACTCTAGAACCTAATTTTGATAGAGAACTACAACTGTTTAAATTAGGAAAGACAACGCTACATTTTGGGTGGGAAGCTCTGCAAGTTACATAATCCCTTTCTGAAGCACTCGAAACCATCTCAGGCCAACCTCCCGAGGGAATCACACCATTTCTACCTGCTATTTGTTGGTGGTCCTCACAGTGAACAATCCCGACGTGGGGCTTTAAGGTGGTGAACGGGTAGGAAGCCACGGTGGGTCTCGCGTTTGAAATGGCCCGGAGAAGCGAGGACTTCCCTGCATTGGGAAACCCAACCTGGAGGAAACGTTAACACGCCGCGTCACGTTGGGGCTCTGTGCCTGGCCGAGGCTGGGAGGAGGGGACACGGGAGTCCGGGCTCCAGCATGTGCACAGGGGCCCCCCTGGAGGAGACCCAAGCTGCTGTTCCCGTCCAGTCTGAGACATACTCTGGCACCAGGGACGGATTTTTCTATAGCTCGGCTGTAGAAATGCCACCTCCTCCCTGCCCCTTCCACCTCCTCCCGCCTCCAGGTGACACCCACCATCCCAGCGTGGGCCACCATCTTGAGTTCCAGGAAGAGAACACGTTCCTGCCCGGGCTGTCCGGGGGTGCACGTCACGGGTGCGCGGTTGTCATTGGCCAAGAAAAAGCGGTTCCCCTTTCCTCCTGCCCCGCCCAGAGCAGCGACGTACTCATCGCCCGGGCACGACAGATCGGCCACGACTTTGTTTCCCTCCTTCACTAATGTGCCCACAGGGACCTGGAAATAATACAGTGCTTAGAAGAACAGACACGTGGAGCAGACCGGGCCCAGCACTCATATCACCGCTCGGGGGTAGGGTAGGGTGGGGTAGGGTGGGGTGGGGGGCATCACGAGGCTCCCTGTTCACAGGGCTATGAAGCATCAGGAGAAAGGTCCTGGCCTTCGAAAGGACTCTATGGGGCTGTGACGCTCCCTGCAAACTGCAACCATGGCTTTTTCAAATCGTGTTTCTAAAACAGGGTGGATGGGACGCCTGGGAGCTCAGTGGTTGAGCGACTGCCTTCGGCTCAGGTTGTGATCCCGGGATCCCGGATCCAGTCCTGCATCGGGCTCCCTGCACGGAGCCTGCTTCTCCCTCTGCCTGTGTCTCTGCCTCTCTCTCTGGGTCTCTCATGAATAAATAAAATCTTAAAAACAAATAAATAAAACACGGTGGATGGAAGCATCTGGAAAACACTCGGATAACCTGAGAGAAGTCTCTGCTCTCAGAGGAAATGGCCCAGGAGGGTTGGACAGAGGGGCAGGAGGCCCCTGGGGTCCCACTTTTTAAATACAATAATTTTGTAAGTTTTGAACAGGTCACATAGGCAGGTGGGATAAAATGAGTACCGACTCAGGGCCTGGGGGTTTGCTTCACAGAGGGGGGCTGCGCAGTCAAGGTTGGGGGGGTGCCCGGGAAGCACGCAGGGGTGGGCTCTGCAGCCCTGGGCTCACCAGGACGTAGAGGAGAGTGCCGCTCCGTCCAGAGCAGTTCTTCCTGCCGCCAGCCTCTCCGTGGGAACCCTGGTACCTCGACAGCACTGAGGACAGCGACTTGACTTGCTGGTCAGCTAGAGTTAGAGCAAGGACCTTCACCTTCCTTGGGCTAAAAGCAGAAGCGTCTGCACACACTTTAAGGACATCATGGATGCGCAGGGAAACCCGGCGTGGGGTCATAGCACAAGTGACCCAACTGGCAACGTGATTTTTTTAGAAGGCTAAATTCTCATTTTCTTTAAGAAAATACAATTTCTGAAAAAGCCCACCTCACCCATAATGCCTATCATCAATTTAACAACAGCTCCACTTGCTCTTGCTGTGAATGCTGCCTACATGTGCGGGTTCGGCGGCACTTGTGCCCCAAGTGTTCGATGTACCCAGTGGCCTTCCGGCGCTCGGGCCTGCCGGTCCTTTGCACACCTGACTGTAAGGCTATTGCCCCTGAGCACATGTGAGCTTCGTGTTCCTCAAATTAAAAAAAACCTCACTCTTGAAGTTGGTTTAGGGGCATTATTTAAATGGGAACATCTAAATTAATAAAAATGATGTCTGCACATCGATTCTTGGATTCAAATTCCCACAAGCAAGAGAAGCTGGAAGTCCCTGCCCCAAAGACCAGCAGACCCAGCACTCTGCGCCCTCCATCAGCCCCTAGAGCCACGTGCCTCTCAGGACCACGTGGCCACCGTTGCCTCCGTCACCACCGTCGGGGCCTCCGAACTCCTTCCGGGGCTCACTGTGGAAGCAGCTCGCCCCGTCGCCGCCACGGCCCCCTCGGACGAGCACTCGGCGATGGTCCACAAAATGTTTTTTCTGCAGAGAGCACAGCGAGCCTGGTCATTACTCATGCGCCAGTCCTCTCAGGGACCAAGCAGCCACACAAAATGTACCTTTTGTACCTACGACAGGTTTTAAAACAAGAAGTCGATGGTATTAAATTGCTCATCTCGCCTACGATGCAAATGTAAGAAAGAGTTCCCACAAGGCACTACTATTTGTAGGCAAAGGCCAGGCAGCAAGTGGGTGTAAAGGGTGGTCAGTATGGAATACCCACTTGGGTAAGAAAGGCAACATTTCCAACCTAAAGAAAACAAGAGTTGTTCTGGAAATATTCCTTAAAAAATGCATCTTTCCATCTTTTTTTCAAATAGAAGACATTGCTGAAATACCAGGTCTTCATCACAGGAAAGATGAAATAACGAATGTGAGTCCTGGGTGGGCTACCAGGCTTCCGACTCAGGAGTGTTTTCTGCAGCCTGACCAAAGCAGCAGACACAACTCCTGGTCTGGGAGGAAGTCTTTCTCTGGGGCTCTCAGGGAGGCGCAATCTCGCTACAGAATGAGGACTAATGAGGTTGACGTTTAATAAACATTAGCTTATCCTAGAAGATCAGCTCCCCGAGGCACCAGGGTACAGGGGCCGGGGTGTCACCACCTGCCTGCTGCATGCGTGTACACACACAGCCTCTCCGCTGGGACCCAGCACGTCTGCATTTCTGTCACTCCATAAGCAGATCTTGTTTTTTTTTTTTTTAAATACACAAGTATTTTAGGATTCTCTGGCACCACCACATGGAAACACCATGAATTACTATTTCAAAAACTCAATGTCCAATTTTGCTATAAGTCAACATCATCGACATCAATCTGATGGGAAAAAAGCACAGCTGATGAACATTCTAGGGGAGGTATAACTTGGGATTGGATTTTTACCTTCTGGGGGAGACCACACCCTGTGGAATGCTGAGCCATGGGGCTGGGCAAACGCTGCCACCTGAGATGTCCATAGGAGATACTGTTTGTCCCAAGGATGCTTATCCAGACACCCTCCCTCCCATTTGGGGGAAATGAAGTGGATCATAAACACTTATTTTCTTGACTTTAATCAAAGATCATTCATGTTTGCAATTCAAGGTTTTGGTAAACAGAATGAAAACCCAGTAAGGCTTAAAGAACTATGAAACTAAAGGTCTAGCCCCTCCCCTCCACCCGGATGTTTTAAATTAAGAAGTAGTCATATATACTTAAGAGTGTAGCACCCACATCAGACACGCGGGCGAGTGATGAAGAAGCGCCCACACACCCGGCCCAGCTAAAGGGAAGGAACGAGGCTGGTGCTTCTGGAGCCCCGGGCACCCTCCCTGGTCTTTGCAGTTTTACGAGAGCTCAGGGCCCAGCGCACACAGGCCTTCACTCCAGCCCATCACTTTCACAGAGCTACACGTGTCCTTTCTAGAACACACAGAATGAATGAACAAGATACTGAGAACTCAACACAGTGTCTGCACCTTCGGAGGAGGAACCGGGGCAACGCCCTTCAAGGTCAGAAACCTCACCAGTTTTTTCTCGGAGAGCAGTTTCTTCCCAGGGGGCTCCTGGTGCTTGGCGCAGTCTGCACAGCTGGCCGAGAGCAGCCTGACCTGAGTCCAGTGCCCCACGCTCCCAAGCAAGGGCCGCGGTCCTACTGAAAGAAGCCTCGAAGGCACCATGGCTCCCTAACAAAAAATCAAATTGGCAAAATCAGACACCTGGTTTTTTTTTTTTTTTAATTTATTTACGATAGTCATAGAGAGAGAGAGAGAGAGAGAGAGAGAGAGAGAGAGAGAGAGGCAGAGACACAGGCAGAGGGAGAAGCAGGCTCCATGCACCGGGAGCCTGACGTGGGATTCGATCCCGGGTCTCCAGGATCGCGCCCTGGGCCAAAGGCAGGCGCCAAACCGCTGCGCCACCCAGGGATCCCAACACCTGGTTTAAACCTGCAAACGGAAGCCCCAAAACAGGGTCCATGCACAGTGCTGTCTCCAGGTCTGGCTTTGAAACCATGCGCTTGGACCGATGACCGGGACTTCTGTCACTCACCACTTTCTGCTCTGAGCCAGGAAGGCTCACTTGCCCGCATCGAGCTGCGTCACTTAGAGCAATATTAGTGTGTACAGAGAATTGGAACCATTAAATCTCCAACACTAGACGTCCTCCTCTGCAGGTTTTCAAATATCTGATCAATGAAAACATTAACAGAATCTAAGGATCAAATAACTTCTTAAAAATAAAACACTCAAGTACACAAATGTTAGTGAATTTGTGCCATTTAAAACTAGTCCAACTGGAACACAGTGAGAATGCAGAGTACGGAGTGTGGTGGGTACGTCCCCTTGCCCCTCGCTGGAGGTCTGAGCGGGGGGGCGCCCTTCCCCGTGCAGCTCTACTCTGTGCGTCTGTCAAAGGGACTGGGCTGGGAGGACGGGTGACTTAACCCCCATCAACAGGCCGCCCACATGCGTGATCGGTGAATGTGGGTCACTTCTCCCTAACTAGCAGCTGCTCACACGGTTACCTGTTCATTCAATAGCCCGTAACAGCTACACATCCTGCAGATGCCAGGTGCCAAGGTAAACGTGAGGCGGTATGGGACCTGGCCCTCCAGGGGGTGACAGCCCCCTCTCCCTTTGCCGTGAGTGCCTGATACCACCCACTCTCCGATGTCCCTGCTGTGTGGACGCACGTGTGCCACATAAAAGGAAATGAGGTATGGGGGATCCCTGGGGGGCTCAGCAGTCGAGCCTCTCTGCCTTCAGCCTAGGGTGTGATCCTGGAGTCCCAGGATTGAGTCCTGCTTCGGGCTCCCTGCAGGGAGCCTGCTCCTCCTCTGTGTGTCTGCCTCTGTCTCTCATGAATAAATAAAATCTTAAAAAGAAAAAAAAAAGAGAGAGAGAGAGAGAGGCTTTCCTCCCATCTCTAGCTGTGAAATGCACATTAACATTTAAAAAATAATTATGAAGCCACCATGTGTGTAAGACAGTGGGAGAGAAAGCAGAATTTGCTTTTTCCTTAAAAGCCTCTCACATGTGTTTCCCGCTCCACATCCTGGGCTCTGCCTGGAAGGGAAATGTCCTTTGTGGGAAGTCTTCTCTCGGCAAGTCTGCATCTCACTTGGAAACAGTCAGTTACGGAAAAGCCAGAGTCCAGGGTGAAGGACTTTTTCCTTCCAGAATCACCCGCAGGGAAGCTGCCAACCTGACCCCCCCACGGGTGACCCCTCTGGAGCTGGGCAGCCTTTGCCAGCAGGCCCCCCGTCACCCTCACAGCCCTCCTGCATGGCTCTCTGGCCTCCTTAGCCCTGGCTCTCGTGCCCGGGACACCTACAAGGCCACAGGCCAGGCGTCTTGCAGCACGTCTGTGTCTGACATCCTCTCTCCTTGGGACAAAAATGTCACACAAGCCCCACAGATGGCTGGGTTTCCTTCCTGACATGCTCCGAGCTCCAGCCCTCGGGGGTCCCAACCCACTTCCCCATAAGCTTCCTGTTCATTCACTGTCATGGGCTCATGCTTCCCTATTTTTACTGAGTCCCACTCTTATTTATTTTTGATGTTCTAATGGTTTCCAGTTTGGTCACTGGCAGCCCATCAATCTTAAGAGGACTTCCCCACTTCATGACACAAAATGTTCCGGGCTCACTTCATACTGTCCTCAGGCGACCCTGAGATCAGCCTTTACTCAAGAAGCCTTGGTAGCTTTGGGAGAATGGGATGCAGAAGCCCCTCTGCACGCTGGTCATGCCCCGGGCTCCTGGGGCGTTGCTGCTGGCAGGCTCAGGAGGCACCCGAGGGCAGGCAGAGGTGCACTGCCCAACATTCACCCCCGCGTCACTGCTCCGCCCATCCACCCACAGCTAGATGGCAGCATCTGCTGAAAACCATGAGTTCACACCTATGTACCCAATTCCACACCATAGGACTCACATTAATTTTCTATCTTGACAACCCCGTTCTGATTGCTAGAACTCTGGCTCCCAACATCTTTGACATGTTTATTGGCTCAATCCCCACAACAGCCAAACCTTCCCCCCCAGTGTTCTCCCCCTACCACACCCATGCTGGGTGCCCCTCTTGGGGGGATAGTCCCATTATCTTTCTGTAAACGTGTTGTTTTTAAGATATGCTTTTGTTTGGGAATTAATTTATTTTTGAGAGAGAGAGTGTGTGTATGTGTGCAGGGGCAGGAGCAGAGGGAGAGAATCCCAAGCAGGCTCCATGCCCAGCGTGGAGCCTGACACAGGACTTGATCTCAAGACCCAGAGACAAGGACCTGAGATGAAACCAGGTGTCAGACGCTTGCCCGACTGAACCACCCAGGTGCTCCTACTTACAAAAAAGGTGAAAGGTACTCCCATATCCCTCTTAGCCAGTTTCCCCTAATATGAGCATCTTACAGGACCTGGGTACTTCTGTCGAAACTAAAAAAAAAACAACTTTGGTACCTAATCATTCATTAAACTCTAGTGGGCGTTTGGATTTCACCAGTTTCCACACTAACGTCTTCTCTTCCAGAGCCAGATCCCAGATCCCACACCGCATGAGGCTGTCCTGCAACGCCGACTTTAGTCCTGGCCGTCAGAAGCCCTCTGCCCAACATTACACCCCAGTGAGAATACCCTTCAGGACGGGAGGCCAAACAAGCCCAGCTCAGATGACAAAAAAGCAGACTTTACCACCAATCTATCTGCTCTATGAGAAATGCTTGAGAAAGGTCTCAGGGAAGGAAGATGGCGCCAGAGGGAACCGACATCTTCAGCAATGGATGGCGGCAACAGAAACGTCAAACATACAACACCACCTGTTTTCTTACAAGAATTTGTTTAAAAGATTTGAGAGAGAGGGAGAGTGCATGCACATACCTGTGCAGCGGGAGGGGCAGAGAGAGAGAGAGAGAGAGAGAGAGAGAGAGAGAGAGAGAATCTCCAGCAGACTCCCTGCTGAGAGAGGAGTTTGAAGTGAGGCCCAATCCCATGACCCTGAGATCACAACCTGAGCTGAAATCAAGGGTCGGATGCATAACTAACTGAGCCACTTGGGCACCCCAAGAAATTTTAAATATGGAAAATGTAGCAAGAAAGACTGATTTATCATATTGGCCAGTGGGTCAATGCAGGCAGAGGTCCTACACCTGGAAACCTAAGATCAAGAGGAGATTGAGGGGACCCTGTGAGTGAGAGTGGCCTGCATCTCCGTGCGGTGGTGCGGTCTCAGCGCTCAGCAGCCGAGGACAGGCCGGGCACGTGCTCTGTAAGTTCTAGAGCTGTTGCTGACACGCGATACTGAGACAGCCAGAGAGCCAATGAACAGAGGACGGAGGATGCTCAGAAACCACTCCAACAATTCAGAAGGACAGGGGAACAGAACAGAAAACAAATAGCACAGAAGTGGACTCTAACCGGGTGAGGGAAGACATCTGATACAACAGCAGCTCATGAGGAGGACCGAGCAGCTGCAGATGCACTTCAAAATACATCAAGCAAAATCTGACAGAATTAAAGGGAGAAACAGGGCACCCCGGGGGCTGAGCGGTTTAGCGCCGCTTTCAGCCCAGGGCATGATCCTGGTGACCAGGGATCGATTCCCGCATCGGGCTCCCTGCGTGGAGCCTGCTTCTCCCTCTGCCTGTGTCTCTGCCTCTCTCTGTGCCTCTCATGAATAGATAAATAAGATCTTTAAAAAAAAAAAAAAAGGGAGAAACAGATCATTTCACAAGGACAGCAGGAGGGGACTTTAGTACCGCTCTCTTGGGAATTGATGAAAAAAGTAGTTGAAAACTGAACAACCAAACCACCTAAAGCAGCAAAGATGCAGAAAGTCTGAACCATCTTACCCACAGTATCGATGTGACATTCACAAACAGTCCACCCAGCAAGTGTAGGACACACACCACTGCCAGGTGCGAGGACGGAGATCACAGAGCATGTCCTCTAACTACAGCTACAGCAGGACTGCAGTCGTAAGGATCAAGACCCTAAGGAAACCCCAACTACCTGGAAATTAAACAATACGGTTCTAAAATAATCTAGTGCGTAAAAGACATCAAGAAAGAAACCAGAGAACATCCTGGGCAGCACGATAAGGAGAGCACCATGTGCCTGTCTCCGGGACCCTCAAGGCTGCGGGCGCACATCGGCAAAGAAGGAAGAAGACCTAACTCAGGGAGCTGAGATCAGGACACGAGAAAGCAAAGAGCAAAGTGAGCAGAAGGAGGGAAATAATAAAGAGCAGAAAGAAACAGGCCCGAACACTAACAACACGGAAAAGTCTCACTGAAAAGATACACGGAGCTGATGCCCGAGTCGGGCTGACCAAGGCAACAGTGAGCACACATCACCGATGTCAGAACAAACTGCACAGATGTGAAAAGCATAAGAGGACGCTGTAACTTTTTGCCAACAAATTCAACAGCCTACGTGGAATGGACAGATTTCTTGAAAAACAAAACTTACCCAATAAAAAAACACAAGAAATAGAAAATCTAAATAGCTGTGTATCTACCAGAAAAGTGAGACTTCTTATAAGAGAACATTCCCTAAAACAAGACTCTGGACTCACACTATTTCCCCCGTAGATTCTGAAGAGCATTTAAGGAAAAAAATAGCAGTAATCTTACAGAAACTTATTCAGAAAACGGAAGTAAGGTCACTACCCAACTCCCTGGATAAGGCCTGAGAACCCACACCAAAGCCTGATATTGCCGCCAAAGAAAATCAGTCCAACATCCCTCGTGCTGCATCCACAGATGCGGAGTCCTTCACAACATAGCGCCCGGGTGAGCCCGCGTCACGCTAGGGCCAAGCAGAAGACTCCTGGACCGCAGGCGTTCGCAGGTGCGACCCACTCCCTGCTGGTAACTGCACACGGCTGACGGGAGCCAACAGCCACTCACGATCAGGGAAATGACATGCTGCAGCAGTGAAGAGCAGGCGGGTCATCTCCACACTGACACGGGGCATCTACACAGGGCCGACGCTGCCGTCACACGGCCCGGACACAGGGCTGTTACCCCCAGAGGGAGAAAGAACTGCCACGCTCCCCACTTCTATGCAACCCTGTCTTGTACACACTGCAATATTTTTTTGAAAGTGGGGGTAGGCAGGTGATATGATTATTTCCACAAAAACCCCAGGAAAATCTATAAAGTGACGATTGAAATTATTAAATGGATTAACCAAGGTTGCAGGTCACAAGGTTAATACACAAAAACCTCTTAAGTTCTCATATACTCATAGCAAACAACTAGAAAGTGAAATTAAGAAAGCGATCTCACGGGGATCCCGGGGTGGCGCAGCGGTTTAGCGCCTGCCTTTGGCCCAGGGCGCGATCCTTGAGTCCCGGGATCGAGTCCCACGTCGGGCTCCCTGCATGGAGCCTGCTTCTCCCTCTGCCTGTGTCTCTGCCTATATCTATCATGAATAAATAAATAAAATCTTAAAAAGAAAGAAAGCGATCTCACTTGCAGTAAGGAGCAGCACATAGAAATAAGCTGAACAGTAAACACTCGAGATCTCTACCTCGTTACCTGCAGAATAGCGATCTGAGTATTTCCAGGGATCACCTCGTCTGGTCCTCCTAACAACCGTGTAAAGGAAGTAGTTTTATTTCTCCTGTTCTGCAGATGAAGAGGTGAAGGGACCCCCCCCCCCCCTGCGGTCTGAGCTGTCAGGCGGGAGGGCAAGGGCAGCAGGAGTAGAGAATGAGACAAGAGCAGAGTATGAAACAGGTGAAGGGAGACGACCACTCCGCCATCGCGGCCACCAGCACACTCAGGGCCAAGCCTGCTGCAGAGCCGCACCTGCACCCAGCGGCGTGGACACCAGGCACAGGGCACCGGTGGCGAGACCCGAAAGGCCCCTCGCAGAGAAGGTCATCTGCCGCAGAGCCGGCCAGAGACCTGAGGTCTGACTCCTGCCTAACTGGGAGTGCTGCGTCTTCCTGCCCTTCCAACCGTGCGTGGAAAAGCAGGCTGAACACCCCGCAAAGGTGACTGGGCTCTCCCTTGCACAGCAAACACGTCTGACTTTGATTCACACCGCTGTCTGGTCTGTGTTCTATTTTTTTTTTTTTAAGATTTTATTTATTCATTCATGAAAGACGCAGAGAGAGAGAGAGAGAGAGAGAGAGAGACACAGGCAGAGGGAGAGGCAGGCTCCATGCAGGGAGCCCGATGTGGGACTCGATCCCGGGACCCCAGGGTCACACCCTGGGCCGAGGGCAGGCGCTCCACGGCCGAGCCCCCGGGATCCCCGGGCTGTGTTCCTTCGAACGCCAGCCCTGCACTGTCCCCCGAGGCGGCCGCCAGCCCCGTGTGGCTCCTGAGCTTACATTAAGTAAGGATGTGACAATGCCAATACCGCGTCCCACAGTGACAGCAGCCGCCGCACAAGGTCCTGCTGGACAGCGCTGGTCTACACCGCGGGAACTCAGGAAAGTGAGCTCAAGTCCCTCCTGGGAGCGTCCGCGTCCTGGGCCCGCGCAGCAGGTGCAGGCGGGAGGGGTGACGGCGGCGGCCGGGCGGGCCGGTCCGGGGCAAGGGCTGGGGCCCAGGGGACGTCGCCGCGGCAGCGGGGCCTGCAGAGGCGCTGGAGGGGCCCCGGTGGCCCGGCTGCTTGAGCACCCGGCTCCTGAGGTCAGGGTCGTGAGTGCAGGCCGCGGGGCGGGCTCCACGCAGGTGCGCAGCCGACTCACGAATAAACGGCGCTGACAGGTGAAAACGCTGGAAGGCGCTCGGCGCGCGGAAGATGCCGAGCTCCGTCCTGCGGGTCCGCGGGGGGCGGGGCCCTCCACACCCGCCACGACGCGCTCAGGGCGGGCGCGCGCGGCTGCTTCCGCGGGGAGCCCCCGCCCCGCCCCCGCGCGTCCCCCCGCACGTCCCCCCGCACGTCCCCCCGCACGCGGCGCGGCGGGCAGCTCCGCGGGGAAGCGGCGCGCCAGCGTGGGGGGCCCGGGGCGGGGCGCGCCGCCCAGACCGCGGCGGAGGCAGGACCCCGCGCCCCCGCGCCCGCGCCCGCCCCCGCGCGGCCGGGAGCCAGCCCCACCGACACGCTCCTCCGAACGTGCGCCCCCGCGCGGGAGGACACGGCGGCGCCCGCGGCCCGCGCTCCACGCCGCTGCCCCGGGGCCCCCGCCGCCCCTGCGCTCCCACGGCCGCGGCCCCGGCTCCCCCCGCGCCCCGACCGCGCCCCGACCGCCGCCGTCAGACCTCCCGCGGCCGCACTCACCGCTTCGGAAGGATACGTCACATCCGGCGCCTGGGCCCGGGCCGCGAGACCACTTCCGGGGCAGCCCCCCCTCCCCTCCCGGCACCGCCGCGCCTGCGCAGGGCCTTCCCAGAGAGCGCGCGTGAGCGGAAGACGCGGCCAAGCCCCGCCCACGCCTTGCAGGCCGGAGGGGGGTGGTGAGCCCCGCTGTCGTCGCGGGGGGGGGGGGGGGGGCCGGTCAGACGCCCGCCGCCTCCGCCGTCAGACAGCCGCCTCCCCAGGCAGACACTCCCCTCCCCCGTCAGACGCTGGCTGTCTCCGTGTGACAGACACCCGCCTCCCCCGTCAGACAGACACTCCCCTCCCCCGTCAGACAGACACTCCCCTCCCCCATCAGACGCTGGCTGTCCCTGTGAGACACCCGCCTCCCCCGTCAGACGCTGGCTGTCTCCGTGTGACAGACACCTGCCTCCCCTGTCAGACACTCCCCCGTCAGACACCTGACACCCACCCCCCCCTTTCAGATGCTGGCTGTCTCCACGTGACAGACACTCCCCTCCCCCATCAGACGCTGGCTGTCTCCCCCATCAGACGCTGGCTGTCCCCGTGTGAGACACCCGCCTCCCCCGTCAGACAGACACTCCCCTCCCCCGTCAGACAGACACTCCCCTCCCCCGTCAGACGCTGGCTGTCCTGTGTGACAGACACCCGCCTCCCCCATCAGACGCTGGCTGTCCCTGTGTGAGACACCCGCCTCCCCCGTCAGACGCTGGCTGTCTCCGTGTGACAGACACCTGCCTCCCCTGTCAGACAGACACTCCCCTGTCAGACACCTGACACCCCCCCTCCCCCGTCAGACGCTGGCTGTCTCCATGTGACAGACACCCGCCTCCTCCCGCAGACAGCCGCCTCCCCCGTCAGACCGAGGCCCGCCGCCCCTCCGCGACCAGGTGCCCGCCGCCGGTCTGAACAGAGCAGGAAGCTCCCGGGTAGGCTGCTTTAGAAGAACCAGTTTATTCATACATTACACCAAATCATAAGCAATTTAATGGGCGCCGGACCGTGGAAGAAAATGAAGTGACAGGATGTTCTCCAGAAGGTGTCCTGTGCTCTCGAGCGAGACGAATCCGACCTGTTCAATGACTAGAAATGAAGGAAGAGCCCACAAGTCTACGGGGAACGGCGCAGCGGTGCCGCACGCGGCGCACCTGCTCGCACCTGCTCGCACCTGCTCGCACCAACACCGGCAGAGCCGGGGGCCGCGAGCTCGGGGCCTCCCGCAGCCCAGGCCCAGTCCGCGCCCCGGGCCAAGGCTCTGCAGCCCCCGCGACTTGGTCAACTTCTGGACCCCATGGGCACGTCTGGAATCCAGCACCTGCCGGGCGGGGGCAGGGACACTGCGGGAGAAGGAGCGCCGAGGCCCAGGTCGTCCGTCCCTGCCTGTCCACTGGCCTTGCGTGGAAGCCGTCGCAAGAAACAAAGCACCATCGACCACACTGCACGAACAACTCACGTTAGCCTAAGCTTTGCGAACACATCACGGAAGAGAAGATAGAGTACATTTAATGAAGAACAACTGCTGGCATCACCTTCCCCCCACAATATCACATAAAAATGGACAACACGTTAAATAAACATTCTGTTATTGATCGTTAAATATATCAATACCAAAAATCATGTATAAATTAGGAAATAAATGTACAAACTATTTCACAAAGTGCTTTTTAAAATATATACACGACATTCAAGAAATTCTTAATGTAAGACATTTCAGATCGAAGTTTTGGGATAAGTTTAAGTGTCCTTTTCTTTCAAAAAGTATTAATACACCACTTAAAAAAACCACACACACACACACACACACACACACACACACACAAGGCATATTCGCAGATTGGCAAGGAATAAAAATAAAACTACGTTCACAGTTGCCTAAGATGTTTGACATTTTCAGTGGGAAATTTCGATCCCCGATTGAGTCTGCAAATTAGTTCTATGAAAACTGCCAAGAACGAACAGAACAAAAGCGAGGGAGACACCTCCCTAAACGAAATTGCTAATGTCTGTGTCATTTAGCAATTAGGAACTCTCATTCCAGTCATTTAATATAGATATGTATTTTTAAGCCCTTACCAGTGTCAAGAGTTTTTAAAACCCATACGCCTCTAAGATAAACACTCCTATCCCAGTGCATGTGGGAGTCTGTCCCCACAGAAGAGGGGAAAATATCCCAGAATAGGACTGGTACTCGTCTGGGGCAATCTTTAATCTGCGCCTCTGATCTTCATACGTCTAATGGGAACAGTAATTGCCCCCGTATTTCCCAGTGTGGACTGTCATGTGGACTCATTCAAGCAACAAAACAAGACAAAACGAAAACAACATAAAACGCCTCGTAAACTGTAAACCGTTCAACAGCTCTGGATAAAGAACTACTTTAGAGTTTTAAGACATTTCTGAAACTTACCAATTTAAAAACATCACCTTCAGTAGACCCGATACAGCAAGAATTGGATATTTTTTCTATTCTTTTGGTTGTTCTTAGAAGTACATCAGTATTTATCCAAAGATGTTTCTAAAGTATTCATGTGGGTATTACAGTCCAGGTAAAAGATAATACAATATCGGTATTACTAATTAATGAAATAGAGGGTTTTTCCTTTGACTCTACTTTGTCAAGTGAGCTGTCTTTAATGTCTGCGTAGAATTTAAATGGGATTTAATGTCCTAGCAATGTAAAATCTACTCAAATTTTCCCATAGAAAACCTTTCCTTTTCATTAGGAAGAACACAGTAAACTTGTAGGGTTCTTTTTGAAAACAAGATGTGACTTTCAGATCTCTCTACAAGAAAAGGAACACTTGCTTGGAGAACTGAACAAGTAGGTCCTGGAAGAAATAATATAAATAAAACAACTTGCCAACTGTTTGGAAAATTTGGTATAAATATTGTTAGTTTCAATTTAGAACTGGGCATATCAAATATCCAAATCCCAGAAATGACCAGCCGATGAACAAAGGGCCAGTGCCAGGCATTTCAGAGAACTGCCCTCTGTCCTTCAGGAACTTACCCTCCTTCCTAACCTGGGCTAGGCTAGCTGTACATTTATTTCGAATATACGCATTGATCCCTCTTTACTTTTTAAAACAAAAACATAAGACGTCTTGGATAAACACAATTGGTGAGAGACACAGGTAATGCGTGAGCTCTGGGAAAGACCATTCGCAGCCTCTCTGAATGAAGCATTTTATCCTTCTCATTGTGTAACAGAAACTGACCCAAAACATAGAAGATGCCCCCCCCGCCCCATCGAGGCACAGGAAGAGGCTGCCATCCAGGGGCTGTGGCGTGTGTCCAGCTGCGGCGTAGTCAGTGAAAGACAAGTTTACGACCCACATTACGACAAGTGCATGAGGAGAGCCAGACCTGAGGCCCGTTTATGTGAACACATGGACTATGGCATCTTGTAGCTGTGGCCCATTCCTGGGCACAGAATACTCTGATGTCAGGAGGACCCCTAAAGCTAGCTAGAAACATCAAGGGCGGGGGGACAAAACAGAGACAACCTCCCCGTCGTATGGACGTACAATACTATACACAGCACCAAATATGTCACACCATCCAAGCGCTGTCTCCCGCCAGCGGTGCATGCTTGGCGTCATACCCAGCATGAAATGTGCACGCTTCACATGCAGACGCTGCGTGGGGCGGAAGGGCAACCAAGAGGTCATAGTTCATCAGAACTGCCACCAGCCCGACCATCCCGGGAGGGACGTGCCGCCGCGAGGCTCTAACAAGAACGCTTGCCCCTTACTGCTGGTAATTTCCATACTGGCCCTGCAAGAGACCAAAACACACGTCATACTTCCACAGTCCCGAGTAAAAGCGTAAGACACACCTGCCCACGGCCCACAGCCAGGACGAGGGATGGGGGCAGGTCTGAAAAGCGCGCAAGCACACAGCTCTCCGCCGAGCTACGGGGCGGGACAGCTGCTGGCCTTCTGAAGCCATCCGTCCGAGCCTATGGCTGATGACTGACGTCAGCTCAGCGAGGAGCCCCACCAGCTCTCCCCGGGAAGGCCCCCCAAGGGGTCAGCAGCAGGGCTGGACGCAAACGCGGGCTGGGACCCCGATGCAGCGCCACTCAGCCCACACACACTCAGCTGTGTCTGACCCGGGTGAGCGCACGTGTAGAGGTAACTTCTGAACACCTCGTGGGCTCAGAGAATCAACATTCTGGAAGGGACCCCGGCAGCCGCATGGTTCCGCATGACCACGAGGGAAGCCTCGGCCAGGCCTCCGCACACGCCAGGGCTCTTGCCTGCTCATAGCCGTAAGGCCGCTGCTGCTGGGCGGACGGGCCCGTCTGAGACGCTCTGTAGCTTCCGTACTGCTGGCCTTGTCCTTGCTGGTAGCCGGAGTACTGCGAGGCGGCTCCCTGGGCGGGCCCTGAGGACACACAGCGCCGTGAGAACAGCCGCCCCCGCCTTCCAGGAGTGCCTGAAGCACCTTCCCCGCCCTCCTCCCCACGGTCCCGTGCGGCCCGGCCACCACGGGGTCGCAAACCCGCGAGTCAAGTATCACAGCACGGGCGGCTCGCCTGCGTGAGAGGGGCGGTGGGCATTCCCGGGGAAACTACGGTGAAGCCTTGGGAAAGAACTGATAAAGGCCAAGTAATTTTTCAAAAAATGCTATTTAATGAGTCATGGCTGCAACAGGCCGAACAAGAATCTTCGACTGTGGCTTTCTTTCCTCCCCGTGTACCGCCGTCACCAGTGAGCTCAGGGAGGCAGGTCTCGAGGGGGCCCAGCCTGCCACCTGGTTTATAAGCCTCCCCGTGGTCCCGAGGTGCAGCCCCCGCAGAGGGCTGCCTGGCGTATGGAAGGCACGGGGCCGTGCCTGGGCGAGCGAATGGAGCTGCGTGTTCACATTAAACTAAGATGTGTCAGGTACAGACACGTGGATCTTCTGTGAACACTCACGGGACTCCCTCTTTGGTGCACTAA